ATATGTATGAGTCAATAAGCATGGTGAAAATGAACCTATAAGAACCAGATTTTAGAATCTAAATTTATAACTCTACTAAACAACAAAGCATTTATGCACAAAGCACATATTAAACAAAAACAAGGATGTTGTATCTGTTACTTTAAAAAAAACAGAAAAAACAAAAACATGGTTAAACTCTGGTTTCATAAACTAAAAAAAACATATTTTTTTTTGTTAAATTAGGATGGATGCGAATTGGAAAAAATATTTCAGGGTAGGCACAGTAGATGACCACTTAAAGTAATTTAAAATTGAAAGTCAAGCAATTTACAGTCCCTTCTAGTTCAATTGTACCTTTCAAAATATCACCGTCAATTACTTTATAATATCTGTTTAATTATTTATTTGCTTTGAACCGAGTAATTTGCTTAGTTTGGTTTTTAGACTTTTTGGAGGAAAAAGAAAAGGTTATAATTTACATGGTTTATTATTACAACGCTTTTGGAGATTGCACATGACATCATAAATTACGTGTGCATTGCGCAACTTTCACAAGTAGAAAAAATTTCTTTATCACCATTTTATTATCATTTAACAATCTCTACAGAGATAAAATTATTTGAGTAAAAGTTAACTTTTATATTTTTAAAGAACAAAAATGGTGAAAGGTATTGAAGAATAGTATGAAATAAATGTAAAAGAAATTATGGGATTTAAGTTCAAATGTGTATTTGTGGTTAGAAAGGCTGGATGTCAATAAACAGGATTTTGATTGTGGGCTAACTGGGCACTTGACCAACTTAATTTGGAGTTTTTAAACCGTGATTTCAGTTCGTTTGATTTTTTTTAAAGTAAAAATAAATATAAAAGGAAATTTAATAGATTAATCTTTTATATTACATCACTTTAAAGATACACATATAATATTACAAGTAAATCGTTAATATTTGCATAATAAATTTAATGACTAACTTTAATAAAATAATTTAATTGATTTGATTAAAAACATTAATTAATCAATTAAGAATATGTCTATAATTAAAAATGTTTCTAATATAGATATAAATAATTTAAAAAATACAAAATTAATAAAGAAATAAAGTTTACAAAAATTGTTGAACTAGTTTTAATATGATGAGTTAGTTCATCCTATTCCATTTTTAGAGAACCAACGATGAGTTAGGGTTCTCTGTTTTACCATCCAATAAATAATATACGTTGCAATCTTTCTCATTCCAATTTTTTTTCCAACTAAAACATTGAAGAAAAAGACAATATTTTTATTTAATTTTTTATTATTTATTGATTATTACACTAGTGGAAAAAGAAGCATTATATGTAAACTGATTGTAGATTGATTGCATTTTATAACCTATTTGACAATGTATGTTATAATAGTTGATTTTAAAAAGCATGTATTATGACTGGTAAATTCAACTACGTTATAATATGTTAAAGCTAATCTAAAAAACACAGGTCAACAAGACCATCCGTCATAATTTTTACCCATCATAAAAGTAATTTTTGCATTAGTGTTGTTTTCGTTTATCATAATTACATAAGAACTTAATAATAAAGAATTGAAATAATCATACTAATAAGTTGTTAGAATTGAAATAATCATACTAATAAGTTGTATTCCATTATAAATAGTAAAAAATAAAAATATACAAGATAATAGATTATATTTCCATATACTTTGTTATTTCTCAAACATAAATAAATTGTATAGTAACATACATGGTGTACCTAGTTTGTCTATAAAATATTTGGATTTTGTCTTGTTGATTTAAGTGGTTATATCAAATTATTTAATCCCATTGTTTCTAAAATTAAAAGGTCAAAAAATTTTATTAAAAAATTAAATTAACAAACATTTGGTTTAATTGATGACATCTATTTATAATAAATGATGGTTTTGATTAATTTATTATTTGCGCATTTGATATGTGGTGTTTTAGTAAACTTCCTATTAATAAACATATATTTAACCTTTTAAACTTGTGGTCGATGACTTCTTTTAACACTGTAATCCTGAAAAATGTAATTTTTGTTTTTTAGAATATTGAAGTTTGCAATTTGGTTTTGTTGAATGAGTATACAATTTTAGAAAAGGAAAATAACTATTTTAAAAATAATTGGTTTTTTAGAAATTTTGCCTTCCATGAAGACAACTGGCTGCCACAGCTGCCAGACCTGATAATCATGAAAGTTGGCATACAACTCCCAAGTTCAAACTCTTTGTTCTTTTTTGACTAATCCAGTCCANGTAAACTTCCTATTAATAAACATATATTTAACCTTTTAAACTTGTGGTCGATGACTTCTTTTAACACTGTAATCCTGAAAAATGTAATTTTTGTTTTTTAGAATATTGAAGTTTGCAATTTGGTTTTGTTGAATGAGTATACAATTTTAGAAAAGGAAAATAACTATTTTAAAAATAATTGGTTTTTTAGAAATTTTGCCTTCCATGAAGACAACTGGCTGCCACAGCTGCCAGACCTGATAATCATGAAAGTTGGCATACAACTCCCAAGTTCAAACTCTTTGTTCTTTTTTGACTAATCCAGTCCACACATTAGGCATAGACCAACCCATTAATCAATACAATAATTTATCTATTTTTCCTAAGCTTGGTGCCTAGCTTGCCCACCATCAAAATTATGCTTCTCAAGAGATTAGGAAACTCTTAAACTAGAATATGTATATTTTTTAAAAGTAAATTTTAAATCTAATTTATCTTTATAAAAGTAAATTTTGTTTCCTTATATTATGTGAAATCTTTTTAATTCTAAGATGAGAGATCTCCAACAATTTTCTCTCTTTTCTGTTCTTCAACAATAATAAATTGAGTATGGGATTCCGTGTTTGCAGATTTTGGGTAACGAGTATGATAAAAGCAATGAGATGATGTTAAGATATGGGAGCTTTCGTCACTACCGACATCATAGGAGTGATATTATTAAATTGTTCCAGCGCATGCTATAAAATTCAACACTCTCCCACAATCGTTTCACAACCTTCTGATAGCACCCAAAATGGTAACTGTGTTAAGATTATGGTTTGTGACGCTGCTGTTGTTCTCCCCAGTTGCATTGTCTGAACTGTGCAACCCACACGACAAGAAAGTATTGCTGCAAATCAAGAACGACTTAAACAACCCTTACCTTCTAGCATCCTGGAACCCCGACACAGATTGCTGCCAATGGTACTGCGTTGAATGCCACCCTAAAACGCACCGCATCACCTCCCTCGTCATTTTATCCTCTGTTCCCGAAACCAATTTCTCAGGGCAAATACCACCCTCCGTCGGTGACCTACCTTACCTAGAGACCCTCGAATTCCACAAGCTTCCTAAACTCACCGGCCCAATCCAACCCACCATCGCTAAGCTCACTAAACTCAAGGAGCTCTATATAAGCTGGACCAACATTTCCGGCCCAGTACCCGATTTTCTGGTCCAGCTCACTAATCTCCAGTTTCTCGACCTTTCCTTTAATAACCTCTCCGGCCCCATACCGAGCTCGCTTTCCCGGTTGCCCAACCTGTTGTCCTTGCGCCTCGACCGGAACAGGCTCATTGGTCCAATCCCGGATTCCTTTGGATCATTCAAGAGGCCTGGCCCAAGCCTTCTGCTGTCCCACAACCAGCTTTCGGGGCCCATTCCTGCTTCCCTGGCCAACATAGACCCACAACGGATAGACTTTTCAAGGAACAAACTGGAAGGCGACGCTTCCATGCTTTTCGGAAGCAACAAAACGACGCAGATGGTTGACGTTTCGAGGAACTTGTTGGCGTTTGATTTATCGAGAGTGGAGTTTCCCACCAGCTTGATATCGTTGGATTTGAATCACAATAAAATCACCGGAAAGATTCCAGTGGGATTGACCGCAGTAGATTTTCTACAGGGGTTCAACGTGAGCTATAATCGACTTTGTGGTGAGATTCCGCAGGGAGGAAGACTGCAGAAGTTTGACGTGGATTCCTATTTTCATAACAAGTGTTTGTGTGGATCACCCCTTCCCAGTTGTAACTGACTTTTCAGTTCACTCCACCAACCTAAATGCTAAATTTCTAATTCTAATTCAAATAAAAATACTCGTTCCAAAAACATTTATACATTGAAAGATGATGTCAAGCTTTGCAGTCGCCCAGGTTTCTATTCTTAAATAACTATGAAACGGATAATGTTGATCTAGTTTCATATTGTCTTTCTTGACTTCTAAATATTTCATAGATATTGTTTTAGTTCCACACAACAAAATAGAAACAACAAAATATGAACGCAGAAGCATATCAGTATACATTCAGCCATGCATATTTTGCGAATAGAAAAAAATTATGGCACCAAAAGTTGAAAAAGTGACATTCGTTTTTTAACACATAAAATATATGCAAAAAGGCAATATTAATATAATATTGTAACGCCATTCCCTTACAATATTTATTCAAGAAAAAAAATAGTTTAACACTACAGATATGCCTAGGAAGATAAATAAGTCATCAAGATAATGGTTAAGGTAATGTGAAAACAGAAATAGAAGGCATGTCAGTGTGTCAATATCGTGGTTATATAATTTATGCGTCCCAGTTCATAGTAAAAGAAAATCTGATTTATTCATTCAATCACATTTTGAAAATGCTAACAGAAAATCTCAGTGGGTTCAGAAGCTATAATTTTTTTCGTATCGGAAAAATCGGCACCCTTTGAAATCAAATTAATTCGCTCAATACATTTTGTCTGGTCTTTATTTCGTTTTCACTTGGAAGAATATCTTGAACTAGTTCACCATCAGTATCAGGTTCGAAAATTTGCCGGAAGTAACAAAATGAAGACATAATGATGATAACTGAGGCCAGAAAAAAAGTGTTTTTTAATAACTTCAAAACAACTATATCATAATAGTTTCTGGAATTTCTTCAGATAACATTTCTCTGGTATTTCATCAATGTCTACAACCGTAAAACTAGATAAAAGAAACCAACTCAGTCAGGTTATCAAAACTTAGAAATACAGAATAATAATGGAGAAATAACTAGGAAGCATAACAATTAAAATTTGGATTAAGATCAGGCGTCTGCAATGGTCACCTCAACCTCCACACCAGGTTCAATTGTGATCGAGGTAATCTGCTTTACAACATCTGGGGAACTGTAAAGGTCAATGACTCTCTTGTGCACACGGAGTTCAAATCTGTCCCATGTGTTGGTACCTAAAACATGTAGCAGTGTCATGAACACAAGGGACAGTATATCTCATTCATCAATAAACAACATTCCGAAAGTACAAACACTGGACACAATACTCCAAAATAAAAATCACCAGGCTAAACAACACATCAGTATCACTGTTCCAAAAGCACGTGAAAACTGGACACAATACTTCAAAAATCAAAATCACCAGGCTAAGCAACACGTGAACCGCATGAAATTAAAAAAAAAAACAATATAAGCCAAGAAAACACTACATAAAAAGCTTTTACCCCAACAGAAGTCAGTTTGGGGCTTCAAAAGAAGACCACGCGTACAATCACATTATCAATTGCAAGATAACAAATGACAAAACAATCAAACCGGCGCCTTTGCATAGGACAGTATGTTTATCATACAGCATCACAATTGATTGAAGAACTTTCTGACTTAAGGACCTAAATTACTGGAATTTGGTTTGCCTCTGTGTCCTTTCATCTCAAACTTAATATTTTTTCGAAAGAAACATTTCAACCACCCCTTGTTCATTTTTCAACAAACACAGTAACATGGTCTTAATTACAAAAAAAATCATAAAATTCCGTTCCCTTTCCCTTCAATATCCTCCATCATCCAAACGAAAAAGGGTTGAGAAGTCCAAGATCTCAAGGAATGCACCTTTACAACTAACACTTTTCTCCATATAGGATGATTGATATACACTTGTACTGTATTACAATTTAATCCAATTTAACACCATTTTTTTGCATCAGCCAGTTAATTAGTCACTACTTCCAATCATCATGACTTGTCAAATGCTAAAGGCCAACCATATTTAAAATTACAGCTAGTATCAAAGCAAGATCGAAGCACAAACCAAATTGCAGAGTAAACATGAACGCAGCAATATAAGAATCATATAATAAAAATAAAAGTGAAACTCACGATAAAAATAATAAAAGAATGAAAAAAGATAAAATACCTTCACCGCAAGGGGATTTCCTTGTAGTGATGTGAAGAACCTTAGTTGGCATCCTAACTGGTCCCTTGACCCTGAGGCGCTTGTCCTTTGCACCGCGAACCAAGTCCGAACAAACTAAAAGTAACATCAAAGTTGAAACATAAGCCTAAGGATTGCAGGAAGCACAAAAAGGAGAAGTTGAATGAATTGATGCATACCCTTCTCGAGATTTTTGACGTGCTTGGAAGATAGGGTGATCCTTATCTTGTGAATCTGTTCCTGAGATTCCTCCAAGCCGGGCTTGGTGGGTTTCATCGCAGCGTATGCCATTGTTCACACCCAGGGAAGAGAACGCTGCTTGTAAAGGTGAGAGGGAAGAAGGAGCAGAAAACCTACAAATAGGGTTTTGAGTTTCCAGGGCAAAATATGTGTTAAAACTAGAGGTGGTCAACCCGGCCCATCTAATTGGGCCCAATGTTGGCCCATCTTTAGTTTCATTTTGGTTCTCTGATTATATCCTTTAAAAATAAGCATATTTTATAAGAGATTACGAAGTGGTTAGGGCTAGATTTGCAGCTCATGAAAATGTTGGACCGGATGAGAATCTTGTTTCAGATAAAAAAAAATTATTAATAATTAAAATTTTAACCATTATATAAAGAGGCACAATTTTTAACTTGTTTGGACTCTACTCAATATATTATTTAATATAATATAAGATGCTGGTCACTCGATATTATATTCAAATGTCCTATTCTTTTATAATAAATAAGAATAATTCAAACAAAAGCTAATACATAAATATTATAAACGGAATAATTAAAGCTAAATAAGCACTGATAAGAATATGAAATGAGACAGTACGAATATTTACATATTCATCTCATTCCTATATCCCATTAGAAAAATTAAATATTATCTATATCCATATTTATAACTAATTGATACAAAAAGTATATGTAAAAGAACAATTTGAATAATACAAAAAAAATGAATAATATGCTCGTGACAGGTTCATTTTTTATCGATTAAGAGAATTTCATCCTGACTTTCATAAGTTGTTCAAACCTTACAGGACTGTTTTTGAAACAATAAATTAAATAGAATAATTGATGTTTTTTAATTATAAAAGATGATTTTTTATTATATTAAAATAAGAATAAATTTCAGGAATATAACTACTAAAATAAAAAGGAAATTATTTAAAAAAAAAAACACTAAAGAGGATTTTTCTCGATGGAAAAAAAGAACGCATTTCATCGAAAGCTCAATGATTCGTTAATAAATATTCACTTACCCTGTGATTACTATAGGGAAACAAATAGAGAGAAAAGATCAGACAAGTAAATGACAAAAAATAAAAAGGAATTAAGTAAAATAATAGTTGTTTGACATTCAATAAAAAAACTAAAAAAGTATATTAAATAAAAATCAATGTCTTATTTGAACAAATTAGTTTAAAACTATTGATTTCAAAAAATAAGAAATTAAATGCATTTAATTTAATGAACAGATCACAATTTGCAGATAAAAATAAAATAAAAAAAAACCAAGATAAAAATTACATTTTAAAAGGTAACTATTTCTAAAAGAAAATTATGTTCACATATCTTCTAATTTATTTTCATTAAATTTAATAAGAAATTTTTAAAAGTAAAAGAATGAAGCATTACAGAAGTAGAATGAATGGATATCAGAAGGTGTTATCCAGAACTCACTCAAAAGTCTTGGAAAATCCCATCATTCTGGCTCCTTTTTTATCACCTTGTTTATTCTCTTCTAACATTTCACCCAAAACACAAACAAACCAATGAATGGATATCATCATCACAAGTGAAAACTTAAACAGAGATCAGAATAGTTAAATCCCATCCAACAATTGCATCAGTTTTTTCACAGAATTCTATCCCATCATTTTAACTTCAATGTTACAATGTACATCTTTTCTTGATGATTGATTATTTACAACAACTCCTTCCCTCTTCATTTGGGGACAGAGATCCGAGGTCAATTATGCATGTTATTAGTTTGGGTGAGAACTGGAAGAGAGGATCAATGTATCAATAAACAATGTAAAAAGCAATTTCTTCTTCGTGTGCAATGAATCAATGATCCTTTCACAACTGAGACTCTTTCCATGGTAATCTATCAAGACCATCTTTGATGGCTCTTCGAAACTCGTCATGGTGGAGAATGAAGGATGAGACATGCCCACCTGTGACCCATCTCACCTCAGAACCTGGCCAAGCTTTCTCAAGTTCCAAGATTGAGTGCTTGGGGATGTATCCATCGTCCTGCAAAACAATGTTCACAATCATTAAGAGCAGAAATCAAGTGGCAAATGCAGACATCTCAATAAAAACAAGACTTTGTAGACACCAAAGAGTTCATTCTGAGGATTTCGTATACTTTTAACTTGTTCTTTTGTCGTCTCAGTAACAGCCATATTCAGGAACACAGAAATAAGATAGCAGAAAGTGATGTGTTTTCAGACAGTCGAATATCCATGTAAAGGAGCATCATTTATCTGATAGTTCATGCACATTTATCGACATACATCTTGAAAAGGATCTAAACGGATATATAAACAGAAAAGAAATTTAAATGAATGATTGTTAGACGTAAATTTCTTCCAATTTTCACCAAAACACATGGAACTTACAGTGGCAGCAACAAAAATTACAGCACTGGGACTTTTGGGAACTGGAAAACGCGTGACATCTGTGAGAGAGAGAACATTTCTCATTCGCTCTCTAACGTCCTCAAGAGTCATTTCAGCCTTCTGGGTTGCAAGATCCTCCCTCAGTGCTTCCCAGGCGGTGCCATGCTTTAAAATCCCTTCACAGAATGCCACAACAGCAGAATGTGGAGATAGAAAAGGGAGTGTTGCAACAGGTGTAGGGTGAAGTGATCCAACCATGGCAGCATGTACTCCTCCTGGAGTACATTCAAACATTGCAAAAATCATATAAAAGG